ATGCCCTCTGAGTCTGAGGCCAGGAGCTCTACAAGGCAGCTGCCTCCTGGATAAAGCTTATAAAGAATTGTTGGTTTATTTGATAGAGTTCCGTCTACGTGATAACAGAGGTAATCCTAGGTTGATATTAACTCACTTGGTTTTAATTTGGTTTGTTTAGCTACAGCTCACTTAACTTTGTGGGCTAGTAGATAAAGGAGAGGAAATTAGCACTCTTCTGTTTTGGAGGTGTTTCTCCAGATGTCAGGGCTGGGAGGGGGAGAGAAGGTCTCACTGGCATAGGGGCCATCATCAGAAGCTTCTCCTGGACTGCTGGCAGCAGGGAATCCTTTGCTCTTCCTGGGAGGCTGCAGCTGTGTGTCACTGTTCTCTGCTCCTATAACTCCTCTGTGGCAGGTTTCTGTGCTTGGCTCCCACCACCGTACTGGGTTTCCATGCTGCTAGCCAGGGCAAATACATTACACAGGTCCCAGAAATATTGACAGGCACAGCACTCAGTGCCAACACTCCCCCTCTGCAGCTCAGAAGGTGCTCAAAACTCTGTATCAGGGTCTGAGGCTGGGAGCAGCAGAGCCCGGGTGGGCAGGACCCCTGCCTGTTCCTGCACTCAGGCCTTCCTGCCCGCCCTGTCACTCCGCATTGCAGCACAGGTACTGGCTGCAGCTCCACGGAGGTGGACAGGGAGGAAGGCACAGCCTCTGCTCGCACCACAGCACGAGCACTTCTCTGAGCAACTGCAGCACCCAAGTCCAGCTCAGGTTCCTAAGGGCGCCCACAGCCTCAGACCATCCCCCCAGTATCCCACCTCCCTCATACACAGGTGAGAGCAGGGTGAGCCTGTGCAATGCATCCCTGCAAAACTTGTGGCTTCAGTTCACAGGCTCTCCTGCTCTTTTCCACCACTCTGACTGTGCCCAGTAGACCAAACTAGACCATGCCTGCAAAACACCTCTACAAAGGCAGCTAAAAAAGGAATTAATTATTTAGCCTGGAATATTCCATAAATAAATCAAAAGGGTCACATTCCTCTGGAATGCCTCAGAACATGTCCCAGGAGGAAACATGTCTTCAGATCCTAAATATCTGCCCATTGCCACTCAGAGAGCTAAATATGATCAAGAGGATGGACACTTGTGCTCAGTCACTCTGGAAACCTCAGCCAGGCACGTCTGTCTGTCTAAGCTGGGTGCTGGGACAGGGCACCCAGGAACCACAGGCAACCCAGGAGCTAGAGGCTCCTGCCCAGCCCACCAGCCTCCTCAGAGAAATGGGGAAGGACTGGGCAGGCAATACGTACTAGGCAGGTGCCCCTTCTCATCCCTGCATATCCATGCCACAGAGCCCAGACACAGCCACAACATACAGATGAGGCCAGTCCTGGTGATTACAGGGACCAGACATCCTGCTAAGGGACCTGCTTTTGGAGCTTGCAGTGAGCCCACAACAGGAAAAGCTAAGGACATACTTAAGGACCCAAATGTTCCAAACAGACTGAAATAAGGATTTGAAGATTAACAGGGTTTGATGACAGAATCCACACAGCAGTGACAATAAGGTGAAACAAGGACCAGGGGAGTAGGATCCCAAGAGAGCAAGTATGGAGAGAATAGACTCCAAGCCAAGCATAAATCTCCCAAGTCAGAAATTATGTCCATGGAGAGGTACAGCAGGTAGAGCAGCTACAAACACACAACGTCTCAGAGTTCTGCTGCAAGGAGGGTCAGGCTCTGCATCCATCTTGGTCCCTGTGTTTTTGAAAGGAAAGGACATTTGGAAGGATTTGGAGAAAAACTGTGAAAGCAGTCAGGATAGAAACACAGCTTGGAGGAGATGGAAGCAGCCAGGCTGTGCAGTGAGGGAAGGAGAAGACTGAAAGGCACCTATAGACCCCCCTCATGTGCAGGACAGGCAAGCAAAGACAGTGGAGAGTGATTTGATGTCACAAATAGTGGGAGCAAACTGAAGCAAGTAAAGTTTCACAGCCAGAAAATTTCTGAAGTACTAAACCAGAGAGCCTGAGGAGAGACAAATCCCACCATGAAGGGCTCCCCAGAACTGGGAGCAAATACCTGTAATTGAGGATATGGACAGGGGCAGTGGTCACTTATTAAAAAATTTACAGTTTTGGCAGCTTTGCTGCATCCTTGTTACATCTCCATATATCTCCTTTGCCTCTAACCTGCTTTGGGCCCAATCCAGCAGATCTTGGGGTAGAAACTGCTTTTCTCTCCCCTAAGCTATCCCAGGAGCCCAGCCTAGTGCTTCCCACAAGATTTGTTGACATGCTGCTCCTGTGCATCCTAGCACAGCCCAAAAAGTCCTTCCAGAGGCTGTTCTCATGCCCATGATTTGGGATTTGTCTCCTTTCAGCACAGTTTTGGAGACAACCAGCTCTGGAACAGATCCTACACTTGAGAGGGATGGGGCCGATGCACACATGCAAATTTGATGCACAAATACCTCTACATTATCCCAGCCAGAAGCTGTTCTCAGGGTCACAGGAACAGGTGCACTCTGGTGAGACACAGTCCTGTATGAAGCTACCTGGATGCTGAGACACACCAACGTGGTGCAGTCCCACTCTGGTGAGACACAGTCCTGCATGAAGCTACCTGGATGCTGAGACACACCAACAGACCCAGACCCTGCAAGGATGACGTGGCCTCTGCAGAGGAGCAGGAAGGCATTTGACAACCCAACAGATTTTTTTTCCT